ATCTAGGCAATAACCATCAACGGCTATTAATATCAAAAAAGGAAAGATGCCTCTAGATGGAAGTGCACGGCAGCACCTAGGAAACATTCTTCTAGATACAAAAACATGAACCTGATTCAGCCTAGTTTTGCAGGAAATTCAAGGGACAGAGGAACATGTTAAATAACACTGCATAGATGTAATCAGCAAAACCAGAGTGTGGGAGACTTCTCAGAGAAACAACCCTTCCTTAAAAAAAAAAACAAACACGTTGCAAGGAGAAAAATACAGAGAAGGGAGAATTTTAGACAAATATTAATGAGTTATAGTGTTTGGACTTTATCTGGATCTGAAATTGAAAACCCAACTGTTTGAAAACAGCAAACTATACCCTGAAGGCCAAATCCAGCCCAGGGCTTGCTTCTGTAAGGCCCTCAAGGTAAGAATGCTTTGCTTAAAAAAATTAAATTAAAACAAAGAAAGAATATGCAACAGACCAATATGCAGTAGAGACTATGTGTAGCCCCAGAGGCCTAAAATATTTACTACCTGGCCCTTTACAGAAAAAGTTAGCCTTGTTCTAGAGATATGCACTAAGGTATTTACAGATGAATGGGCAGGATGCCTGGAATTCGCTTCCAAATAATCCAGGGGAGTAGGAAGAGGTCTGGAAGAAACAAAGACTGGCCAACTGTGGAAGTTCTGTGATGGAGCTACATTATACTGTTCTCTTTTTCGCAAATGTCTGAAATTCATCATAAATAAGAATTTTAAAATAGGCTGATCAGGGAATAAAAGAGGTGGCTCATCTGAAATGTCAGTGTGGTAGAGATAGCTAGTTGCCCCACAGTATCTGCTCTTCCTTATTAACAGAATTTTACTTGGGCATATGACCAAGTTCTGGCCAATAAAATGTTAAGTGAAAGTTCTGTGAGGCCTTTGAGGAAGCACCCCTAAATGGAGAAGCCACAACTTCCTACTCTCTTTTCTTCCTGGCTAGGTGGAATGGAGTCATAATTCATGGAGACTGTAACAGCCATTTTGGACCATGAGGTGGAATCCATGTGTGAAGATGGTGGGAAAGCAGGGTAGGAGACCACATCCCTGGCCATTTTGTGAAAATGCCACGCTAGCCTTGGACTGTCTGCCTATCTGTAAGCTTCTTATACGTGAAGGAGAAATAAAGTTCTATCTTTTGAAGCCAGTATTATTCTGGATTTTCTTGCAGTCAAGTCTAACCCTAACTGATACAGTCAGGAAAATATTTCTTTCAAAATATTCCTGCTATTCAAGGTGAATCTGATATACAAGCCCAATTTTTGGGTGGTGATGGTTAAATGACAGAACTGCAAGTATTCCAAAGTTTCCCGCCAGGTCAGTGTTTTTTTTTCTTCCAATTAAAAAGTGCGTGCGTGTGTGTGTGTGTGTGTGGTGTGTGTGTGGTGTGGTGTGGTGGTGTGTGTGTGTGTGTGTGTGTGTGTGTGTGTGTGTGTGTGTGTGTGGTGTGTGTGTGGTTTGGTGTGGTTGTGTGTGTGTGTGTGTGTGTGTGTGTGTGTGTGTGTGTGTGTGTGTGTGTGTGTGTGTGTGTGTGTGTTGTGGGGGAAGAGGCTGGAGGTCTTAGAAGGGAGATTCAGGAAGGTCTGCAGAGATGGTAAAGCAGAGTCCAGAGAGATGGGTTAAGAAGCTGTACATCTGAGATAAGAAGAAAAGCTGAAAAGGTGAAATTAGGAAAAGTTGGGGTCTTGGTTTTGAAAGGACAAACTCGTGTATCTGTTTGACCTCGAGAAGCTCAGTCCTCCAACAGCCAAGACCTAGGCTGGAGGTGGTTCCTACAGCCAAGGGAAAGTGAGGGCCTTTGAATTCCTTCCAGAGGGTCATGACCATCTGAGTCTCAGGCTCCCATTGGTAAAGCACCTGCCTGGGTCAGATTAGATAATAAGAGAGGTCCATCATTCGACCCGAGTTAAGTTGCCCAAGGTTACAGAGCTAACAAGTGGCATTTACATGGGGGTTTAAATGATAGATGGTACTGCACATTCAGGACAAAAACAAAGTAATCCTGCTTTACAACACTTTTTCAACCCTCAAAAGCAAAATTCCATTTAACAAGTGAATGAGTAACTTGGAAGATGGTGAGTCAGCTTACAGGAACATGCCAACACTTTCCCTCCAAGTGGGAAGATGACACCCTCATGGATGTAGCTTGCCTCTGCACAGTCCTGTCCCTCCCAGCCCACCGAAGCTCCCTCACACCATGAGGACAGGAGCTTATAAGGTGTCCTAAGCCTGATGGGGACAGTGAGAGCGGCTTGGAGGCCAGCTGGCCTGGAGGGGAGACACATTGAATCCCTTGGGCCGAACCATGAATCTTCCTCCTTGTGGGTGGCAGCTGAGGGTGATGGTGACAACACAGGGTCTGGGGTCCAGCAGGCCTGGGTGTGAATCATGCATGCCCTTGCCACTGACTACTGGTCTGCCTGAGACTGTTTCCACACCTGTGAAGGAGGGGATCACACCCACCTTGGAGGTCGTTATAAGCATTAAGTGGGTAATACACATTAGCTATGATTACAGTTGAGACCTTAACAGCAAACGCCAACATTACAGTGTCTAAATCGTCCCTGTGGCCTTGACTGACTCCAGCTATGAAAAACTCCTAACAACACAGGGGCAGCTCCTGCTCATCCTTTAGGCTTTAGCCTGCCTGTCTCTCCCTGGGCAAGTGTCTCTGACCACCCTGAAATTGAAGGTCCTCCCTACACCCAAGTAAGACCACACGCCATTCTTCCTTTATGGCACCAGTCCTGGTTATAATTATACAATTACAAGTTTTTGACTGCTGTCCTTTTCCGCCTTTAGATTCTAAGCTCCATCAGGTCAGGGACGGTGCCAGTTTTGTTTATCACTATATTCCCAATTCTATCACGCTGCCCAGCACACAGGAGTTTCTCAATAAACGCTTCTTGAATAAATGAAACAAAATTTAATGTACAGAGCTCCTCACCTAGAGAATCTATGTTCTGGTTAAAATACTTTAAAAACAATTACGGAAAAGTTCAGACACTGACAGGTTCATAATCAATAGGTGTCTCTTGCTTTCTCTCTCCCTCCCCCTCTCTTATCCTGGTCAATTTGAAAAATCTGAGAAACTTTTCTTTTAGACAATTTTTCAACTGATACAGTGGCACTTTAATGATTCCATCAAGGAAATCCACTCGGAATGTTACAAAGCTTTACGCTTCACTCTCTCTCTTCTATTTTGGATGTTCTGACTTGTTTCGAAACATCTAATTATAATCAATTTGGTAGAAGGAAGCCTTAACAATGTCACCTGAAAAATAACACTTGTCAATAAGAGCATTTCCAGAAGCCTGGACAGGAAGAGCAGGCGAGGCGAGGCCGAAGCGCACAGCCCGATGGTGAAGTGGGACCCAGGTCACGTCTCACTTGCCCTGCTGACCTCAGAGAGTGGCCGGGAGGCTGGAATGGGAGAACGTGTGACTGGGCGCCAGGTCTGGAAAGCAACGTCAGGTCCTACACAGCAGCCACCCTGGGCTACATCCTTACGTCTCACCAGCCAAAACCGACCGCGCAGGACCTAGTAACCTAGTAACCGTGGGGAGTGAAGAGAACGGGGAACTGTCGGAGGACACGCTGTGATGCCGCCCGGTCAAGCCTCCCTCTGCGTGAGCTCCATAAAGCCCCAGCAGACACAGCAGCCCTGTTCACACAGTATTGGAGGTGGGGAGCCGCCCAGACTGCACCAGCCAACGCGGTTCATTCCGGAGCAGTGTGTAACGTCCAGCAATGCTTTCTTAGCCTCCCATCTGTAATTTTTACCCGTTGGGGGTCCTTATTCTACTCTCCAGAGCTTCTGGGGAATGTCAATCCAAGGAGGCAGCATCCAGGAGTCTAACGGCACGGTTGAGTGGGGAAGGAATTGTTTGGACCTAGGGTAAGTACCTTGGCTACAGTTTTGTACTGGAGGGTCTAGAAAGGAAGAGAACACAGTTTTTCAAGCCAAGAGGCCTGTTTGCAAAGCATACATCTAGCACCACATAATTAATAATAAACAGCAGCTAAGATCTGAGTGTTTAGTGTGCCCAGCATAGTTCTAAAAGCTTTATATGTATTAACTAATTTAATCCTTCCTACAACCCCATGACACAGGGTACCACAACTGCATGTATTTTTAGATGAGTTAACTAAGGTACAGAGCACTTGAGTAAATTGCTCAAGTTCACAGACTAGTAAGTGGTGAACCTGGGATTCCAATCTAGCTGGGCTCTACTCTAGTCTAGCCTGCTTTCCACTACATTATCCGGCCTCCCACTCCCACCGCTCACAGCCCCGTCCCAACCCACAGGATCTCACCTGTTTCACGTCCTACATCCTGCCCTGCTGGGGAAAATAAGTCCACTGGGACTTATTTTCTCAATTAAGGTTTGTCCCTTGGACCTCAACTCCAGAACCTCCAAGGACTTCACTTCCCGCTCTAACGGAGATTCATAATTTCCTATTATGCCACTTCTGACTTCCCTGGGTCCACATCATGGATTTCAAGTACAGTTAGTTTCATTTCTTACTCACGTCAATCCTGCTTTTCTACTAAGAATCCCAGAAGTTCTCAGAACATGAAAAGGTAGCAGCTGACATGCTGGGAGTTTTGCTAAAAGTCAGTGCAAAAGCAATTTCCACGGGACTTCATCTAGCCGGCAAGCGTGCGCAGCCAGAGCTGTAGTATAAAGACCACCTGTAGATTTAATAGAAGGCCCAGTAAAGGCTGACTGCTTCTGGCAGCTTTTCTAACTATCAGGACGAGTACTCCAAAGGTTACATTCGTGTAAGAGTCACCTGTACCACGGAGAAACAGCTGTGGGACAGAGCAGCACCCAACAGCAGAAACACTGGAAGACGTGCACTCTAATGTACAAGGTTCAGGAACAATTCTCATGTGACAAACACCCAGCAGGCAGGGTGCTCCAAGCCCCTGATGAGGACCGTCTGGAACCTGCACGTACCTTCACTCCGTCCAGCACGGCTTTGATGACCCCCTTCACAGTTGTCACCATCTCTTTATCTTCTGAGTTCACACCTTCTAGCATCACTTGGTCAGACCAACGAATGAGGTTGGCGAGACTCTGGTACACTCGGCTGTAGCAGGAGGAGAGGGCTGAGCTACAGGTAGGAGGAGATTTTTAAAAGAATATTAAAAATCTAAAGCATGACCATCGCTTTACGTCATCTGTTCAGCAGAGAACTAGTTTCTCAGTGACTAAGGTTTTCTCAATCCTTCCTTCTATAAGATCTGCACCTCCTTTTAATCAACTTTTCCTCCCTGAATCTATTTCCTTACATCCCATGAAGATTTTGTGGAGCTTTATCTTCCAGTCTGTTATAAAATTTTTTTCATTTCTCATACATAATGTATAAAAATTCCACCGTGATAGTTAATATGCTTTTTCAAACTTCACAGCCTCCACGAGATTCTGATAACATCTCTCAAGGAGTGCCTCATCTTCCTCTCCTAGTAAGGTCAGACTGTTGTACACTTCTTGTTCTGAATTAGATAAAAATTCACGTTATATTGTGTCACAAGGAGTCAACAGGTTTGTGGAACTTTAGCAGGCAGGATCCTTTAAGGGAACAGCCTTTATTTCTATTAAAAAAATTTTTTTGGATCTTAGTTCCCTGACCAGGGATCGAATCTGCACCCCCTGCCGTGGAAGCACAGAGCCTTAACCACTGGACTGCCGGGGAAGTCCCAAGGAACAGTCTTTAAACATGAGCTCAAAGAGATCTGATATTTACTAGAATTCCTTCTAACACGGGCTCAGCTTCACCATCCCCTGCAATAAACCGTGGCTGAGATGTCAGAGGAATGCACTAATGAGGAGTCTTTTAAGGAGGACAAGTCAGAGGCGAGGTGACCTGTGGTGATGGTAGGTGGGGGGAGGAGGTACCAACTTCACTGTGACGCCAACAACTCAAAACAGAAGCCCTGAGCACATCTGGAGGCCCCGACGACTGTAGAGTGGAGGCCAGAACGAAGAAGTTTTATATCTTCCACATATTTTTAAACAACTAAAGATACTTTTCCCTAGGATTTATGGAAAGGATTATTTTGCCATTTTAAATATTATGTATTACAGCAGAGGTAGAGCAAAAATGTAGAAAATTTGTGGGATGCTACCTCCTCCACTAAAAAAAAATAAAAAAAGAATGAGGCAGACATTGAGGAGCCAAAGATATACTTTTTCCCCCAAGATATAATTTTGAGAAAAATATATAATATTGTAATATATGATTAAAACAGGTTCTAAAAACAAAGACATTAAAAAAAAAAAAAAAAAAACCCTCCCCACTCCATCCCTACTTTCACACTGTATTTTACTTGAATAGAGAATGATTATGTTCAATAATTAAAAAAAAAAAAAAAAAAGCCTGAACCAAACAATGCTCTAATGAGAAGCTCTTCGGAATCAAGGTAAAAGGAGGAAGAGAATTTCCAGGAGGTCTGAAGTCTCCACTTAGCCATTCACTCGGCTCCGTGCACGTTCCGGCGGGAGCAAAGAAGAGTCAGAAAGAATGAAAGCAGCTCCTCAAGCCCCATTAAAAACAAGAAAACTTTACAAAAGGAGCCCCAAGAAAGCCAGGGTTTGGCTGCTTTAGAGGATGATACAAATGAAAAGTGTTTGGTGTCAGACCTATTCTCTTCTGAAGGAGGACTGAGAGAATAAAACACAACTTGCAGGCCTGCCGGGGGGCCGGACCACAGATGGCGTCGTCCTGAGGGGGGTGTGCTTCTAGCAGCTCTGTCCCTCCTCCCGGGCAAGGCCAGGCTAGGCCTCTTGAAACAAAGACTGTGGCCTCCCACCCACAATTATTAAATGAAAGAGGTGGGAGGGGTCACTTTTACGTGATACTTAATTTCTACCCGCACTGGATGTTAACATTTCCCTGAAAGCACCTAAAAATGTTGGTAATTGTGTCCACCCTTCACACTGTGAGCTTGCAAGAAGAATATTCCTGTGTCTTAATGTCACGGGAAGGACATTAAAAAAGGAAGGAGGGTCTTGTACCATCAAAATGTCCAGTGGACCAGTCGTGGGTCTGTTTCCGAAATGGAGCAAAGCTGTCTGCACTGAGGGCAAGCAGGGATCCTGCTCTCAAACATCTCTGAATGTTCCACCGTCAGGAAAAGCCTCCATTCATTGCCCACACTGAACAGCCAGCCGCTTGTTCACAGGTCCGTCACCGCTGCCCTCGGAACCTAGGGGAGCGTGGCGAGGAGCCTACCTGCTAGGGCCCAACCCACAGAGAAGAGGCAGGAAAACACCCTCCCAGCTAACAAATGCACAGGAGGATGAGATGATGGAAGGAAGCTAAAAGAAACATTTGAGGAGCATTTTAGATCATCTCAGGGAGATCAATAAAAGTATCACCAACGGGCTTTAGAAGAATTTCAGGAGGAAAAAATCCCTTAAATGGTATTAGCCAAAGGACTACAAAGAAGAAAAAAGAAATCATTATTCCTTATGGCCACACCCAGGCATTTCTCCTTTCCCCTCTAGAAAACTGTCATAGACAGCAAGTAATTTCTGTCAACTATAAAGTAATTACAAAACCTCCCCATGGACAAAAAATGCCCCAGACCATTGTCCTATTACTTGGTCAGTTCTTCCAGAGCCTGCATGTCTAGAAAGTAACTTCCCAAGCAGAGTTGCTGGCTGACACTGCAGGAAGCGACAGTCCTAGCAGCAGCGCCCTGTCAACGCTGTTACAGGGCTCAGTGACGGGGACTGTCCTGGACGCCCCCAAAGAGGCCTGGCACGTGAGGGGACCTGCCCTCATTTCCCACAGCGCCGCCCGTCGGCGCCCTGGTGTGGTCACACTCTGCTCACAGGACTGCTGGTCTAGTCCCTGCCGCGCACGCTGCCCGCGGGCCTCAGCTCCTTTGCTCTTCTTCTTCTCCTGCCCCCACTGCCCATCCAAATCCTGCCCTTCCTTCAGGTCCAGCTGCAGCATATCCTCTCCCAGGAAGTGCAACTCTCTTGTAAGTCTCCCGCCTTCAAAGTCAAACAGAGCTTCCACTCGGTACCATCAAATCAGCACTGTCGTACAGTGGGGGAGTTGATTTTTTCACATCTGAACTCGCCCACGGTAGGCCCGTCCCATGAGAAGTGTATGAGAGCATTTCATAAAAGCTACCTGTGCGTCTGAAACCCAGCATACTGTTAAGCACGTTCCCTCAAAGGAGAACAGCACCGGGCCTGTCTACGAGCTGGGCACTGGGCTACCTATGGGAAAAGCATGGTGCTTAGTCTCACAGAGTCCTCCATATGGAGCAACTGAACAAGGCACCAAAGGGACTCGCTTCCTCAGAGGCTACCTGTACGTGACAGCTGCCTGGCCTGGAAAGAGACGACAGAGCAGAGCAAAGCCCTACCAACGCCTTATCCTTCCCCGCCAAGTGGCTTCAGTGAGCTTCCAGCCAAAAGACCACCATCTACAGGGGTCAGCAGAAGCTCCAGGGCAGAGAGCTTCTTGGAAATAAAGATACTGTTTTATCTCCCAGAATAAGAAAACTACGCACTTCACTGTCAAGTTCTGAACGCAGTTTACAAAAGCTTAGCCTCATGGGGCTACAAGGACACTAAACCATCTTGAGGAACTGAAACAGAGAGATGTTTATCCTGAACAGGTACCAGGGAAGAAAAACAAAGCCAGCGGGCATCTGACAGCCTCTCAGGAAGAAGCTCCTGATAGGCTCTCACTGAAGATTACATTTAATACTGCTTTCCTTTCTGTACTTAACAACAAACACAGGGGCAAGCCGCTCACTAACCTTTCAGAGGAAAGCGAACTCTAGCAATAAAAGCATTACCCCACAAAAGCTGACTACACTTCCATACCTGGCTTCCAATGAATCCAGGTGCTGTTTGGGAGAACCTGGCTTGATACAATTAAATGTTTCACTAATCCGTGCTCTAATGGGATCCTTCTCTACCTCATTTGGCCTAATAATCTAAGCAGCCAAGGTCTCCAATAGGTTAGATATTGGCCGGATTTAATGTCATAATAAACTATGGTTAACACAGGGTACTGGGAAAAATGGGTCCAAATCAATGTGATTATTGCCAATGAGCTGGCTAGTACGAAAAAAAACCCCACAGACTTAACACTGTGGCTACATCCCTAGCAATGGTGGCGATCTTCCTCAGTGTTGAGGCCTCATGAGTAACAATGAGGACCTCAACCTTGGAAGAATACCAAGTGATAGCCATGGGGTGGGGGGGGGGGGCAGGGCGTGGGAGGGCTCCTTCTCCTCCTGGCACTCCTCACTGGTCCTAGAAACACTGAGTGTGAAATGCCCCTGAACCAAGGTGCCACTAGGCCTCCACTGCTCTGACACAGTCCAGAGCAACTCACCTGTGTTGAATTCGAGGGTCGCTCTGCACCAGGGGTAAGATGGCCTCCAGCACCTTGCTGGCAGACCCTGGAAGCATCTCCAGTACCTTCTTATCAATAGCCATTTTGTCCACAATGGTCTTAAAGTAGCGCAAGGCACTGACAACTTCCTTCTCTTTCTCTTCCAGCCAGCTCAGGTTCTGAAAGGAAATGTTAAGAGTAAGGAGGGAGGAGAGAGATTAAAGGGAGCAATTTTAAAATAAATAAATAAAATAAAATTTCCTGCAAACTAGTTTGAGACTGACACCAATGGAAAAGGCTTCTTGCTGCAGAAGGCAAGCCACGTTGTTTTTCTAAGGACTGCAACCAGGATACAGAGGCTAGACTTGAAGGAAGTAGAAGGGGCTGACTGAGAAAGGTTGTTTAGATAATATTCCTAATTCCCTTCCCGGACAGAGACAGGTTTGCCCTGGGGTCTCCGCCTCAACCACACTGAGATATCACCACTAGACTCAGTAAGTGTAATGAGGACTAATTTGCTGATGGCTGCAGGACGCTTACAGAACCAACAGTTAAGTCCCAACGTGTGTATCTATCCAGTAAATCAAATCGAGGCCTTTCACGGTCCTAAGGGCTGTGTAAGACTGGTCAGAGGCATTAGCGCTCAAAACCCGCTCTCCCAGGACTCCTCACTAGATTCCCACATTTGACCAAAGACGCAGCCCCTCGCAATGAAATGATATGGCTCTCCCGAAGGACCTGGAAACCCTGGGGTTAGAAGGGGCGGGACGTGCTGGGGTGAAAAGGTGAAGAAGCTGGACAGATGGCAACGATTCAATCACCACTCCTGCAGCATATGTGCTAAGAGCACACAGGGTCCCTCTGCCCCTGAGGAAAGCCCGCCTAGGAGGGAAATAAAACAGAGTTCTGTACTTCCCAGCACTCACATTCCCACACCCAAATCTTTTCTCCTTGACTGTGGGATACCTTGAATGCACAGACAGCGGGTAAACACACCCCTTTGGTTTCTTTCTCCAACCTCTCCTTACACTGACCCTAATGTCAACAACCCAGGTCCCAGCTGGCTGGCAGGGAAAGGGAGATCAAGAATAATCTATAAAATGGATAAATCCAAAAATGGATAATCTACTCAAGTAGAATTGATTACATGTCCAGGGCAAATTAAGAGTGGTACGTATGAGGAAAACTGCCACCTGCGGGCTCTTTGAGGTCCAGAGGATATTCAAATAAAAACTACCGAGAACAAGAAGATAATTTCTAGAAAAAGTAGATTTAAAACTATATAAATAGGGGCTTCCATGGTGGCGCAGTGGTTGAGAGTCCACCTGCCGATGCAGGGGACATGGGTTCGTGCCCCGGTCCGGGAAGATCCCACGTGCCGCGGAGCGGCTAAGCCCGTGAGCCATGGCCGCTGAGCCTGCGCGTCCAGAGCCTGTGCTCCGCAACGGGAGAGGCCACAGCAGTGAGAGGCCGGAGTGCCGCAAAAACAAACAAACAAACAAAAACAACTATATAAATACATAAAAAAGTGATACACAATGAAAAGTGATTATGATTCTGAACACCAGCTCTTTTAAAATAATGAGGAATGCCATTTTAAATAAAAAACTTCAATAGTGGATTTTATGGGACTATCAAAGGAAAAACATATAAATGGAATCAAGAAGTAATTAGCTCCTTTCGTCAGACAACTTTCAAAAACCCGATCTGATCTGTCTCAACGGGGGCACTTCCCAAGAGGTACCCTGTAGACCACCGTGATACATTTCTCCAAGGGAGGAAAAAGACACCCTTTCCCCATCTCTATCACTGTGGCCTCTTTGCTGTCACTTATTTTTCTCTTCTCACTACCTGACACGTTTGTTTATTTACCGTCTGTTTCCGAGAGCCACAGGCACTTGCTTCTCCACCTCGTGGCCCAGAATGCTCTGCTTCGCCATGGCCTACACGGGGCTGAGAGGAACCTCAGTATGAAGGAACTCAGCGTGCCTTGCAGACATCAAATGTGACTAAAACCACTCTGGCCAGTTGAGCAAGAGGACTCTGGCTACGACACTGCCATCTCAGCACATCAGGACGCGCAAGGAGCCAGCAGTGACAAAACGTGGGGAGGAAGCAGGAAACATTTTAAGAAAATGTGTCACGAGGCTTGCTAGGGAGAAAGGGGCTAATCTGGAGATGGGAGCCGTCCAAATGCGGCAAGGCACTTCACAGAAAAAAAGAGAACTCTCCTGTCATTTGCAGAGAGATCAAATGAGCCACTGAAGAGCCGGGCTGCCCTGGGCTCCTAATAAAGGAGCCGACAACCTAGCAGAGTCAGGTTTCATCCATTAACTGTCCAGCAAATTCCACTCCCAGAATTAACGGCCTCTGAACGCTGTGCATTCCCCTAGCCCATCAGCTGTTAAACTATGGCTTCTCGCAAAACACAGCCAGCAGTCGGAAGAGTTTACGACGAGACACCCAGACCGAACACCCCCGGGAACAGGGAACCTGGGCCGAGGCCTGAGAGAGGCAGCTGCATCCACCTGCACACCGGCTCCTGCGTCAGGGGGTTAGATGCCACCACTGGTGCAAACAAACCTGGAAACTACATGAGGCCAGCGGTGCTGAGGAAGGGCCTCGACCCAAAGGCACTGCTGGGCTTCAGGCTCCTCATCTGCAAAATGGGGAGAATAACGCCTGCCCTGGGTGATCTAAAGAGGTTCGTGGTGGGGGGGGTGGGGCTGGGTGAGAATGCATATGGGAGCACTTCATAAAATTAAGGGAGAAAGAGATTTTGATTAAGAAAACTTGGGCCAGAGCCCACACTCTCTGTATACTGGGAAGAGTGAAAGCTTGTGCACATGGTCAAGTGAGGAGTAAGTAAGACGGCACGTGAAATCACCCAGGATAGGGCCCGGGCAAAGAGAGACCTGCGGTAAGTTGTAGATGGATCCAAATCTATTTCTGTCTACCTGAGTTGCAATTTCCCATGTAATAACCTGGGGAAAATGAGAATATATATGGAAATACTAAGTCGTAAGACAGCTAGTAAGTGATAATTAAGGATGATGGCAAATGACAGACTCGGCTAAGTTCACACACCCTGGCAGATTCCCCAACACTTCCTGTTCTGACTGTGGGCCTCCACCATGGGTTTATACTCACTTTGTCTCATGCAGGTGGCCTGGGGCAGAGCACAGTAATTCGACCCTTCTTAAAGGGCAATGACCAGAGACCAGGGTAACCCTCTTCCTTGGGTGAAGATCACATCTATAGCTCCTTCCCAGAGGACAGTTTCTCAGCCATGGTACTGACATTTTAGGACAGAAAATCCTTTGTTGGGGCGAGGGGGAGGCAGGGTTGCTGTGCTCTGTATTGTATGATGTTTACCAGCATCCCTGGCCTCCAGCCAACAGATGCCAGTAGCACCTGCTTCAATCTCCTCGTTCTGACAACCAAAAATGTCTCCAGACGTTGCCAAATGTCCCCTGGAGTTTGCAGAAACCCCCACTAAGGAAAGGGTACTTGAGCATCAAATTTCCCCTATGACCTCTCTTGGAGTGATGAAGAAAGGGGGAAAAATTCCAAGAAGGGAGCGGCTGAAACAGTTTCTTATCAGAGTTCACTAGCAAAACACAGTGGTTAGTAAATCATTTTACTCCGGGCTGCCTGCACTAGTGTCAGGTGACAAGTGACGCTCTTCCTGGCGTTTAATACAAA